AAGTGTCAAGAAAGATTGTCTAGCAAAGAGTGTCAAGAAAGAGTGTCTAGCAAAGAGTGTCAAGAAAGAGTGTCAAGCAAGAGTGTCTAGCAAGAACGTCTAGCAAAGAGTGTCCAGCAAGAGTGCCCAGCAAACGTGTCAAGCAAGAATGTCTAGCAAATAGTGCCCAGCAAACGTGTCAAGCAAGAGTGTCTAGCAAAGAGGGTCAAGAAAGATTGTCTAGCAAAGAGTGTCAAGAAAGAGTGTCAAGCAAGAGTGTCCAGCAAGAATGTCTAGCAAAGAGTGTCCAGCAAGAGTGTCCCGCAAAGAGTGTCAGGCAAGAGTGTCAACAAAGATTGTCTAGCAAAGAGTGTCAAGAGAGAGTGTCAAGCAAGAGTGTCCAGCAAGAGTGTCTAGCAGAGTGTCAAGCAAGAGTGTCCAGCAAGAGTGTCAAGCAAGAGTGTCAAGAGAAAGTGTCAAGAAAGATTGTCTAGCAAAGAGTGTCAAGAAAGAGTGTCAAGCAAGAGTGTCGTGTCAAGAGTGTCCAGCAAGAGTGTGAAGCAAGAGTGTCTAGCAAGAGTGTCAAGCAAGAGTGTCAAGAACAAGTGTCAAGAAAGATTGTCTAGCAAAGAGTGTCAAGAACGAGTTTTCAGCAAGACAAGACTGTTTAGCAAGAGAAAGTCCAGTGGAAAATGCACTTTTTTGGAAACTTTGATTGTCGCTTCTGGTGAAAGTCTGGTGAAAAATGCTTGCTGCAGCTTTTGATGCGCTGGCGCTGCTTCTGCTGATGACTTTGCGGGTCATCCAAAGAAAAGGTTTTGATTGATACAGTTTTGTGCCTTTGCATTCTCCTCTGTCATGAGTGACTGCATTCGGGTTCGTGGGTTCTATCAGGTGTTTTTATGTGTCACTTTTTGTGAAAGCCGAGGCACATTGAGGCACTGACTTTGTGCCAAAAAATGCCAAAAACATCCAAAAGCCAACATGACTAGACTGGCAAGCTTGTGAGCTTGTGAATCCGTGTTGAATTTGGAGATAGTCTGACATAAATCAAGGCTCCAGCTTGTTCTCCGGAGTCCACAATTGATGCGAGGAGCGGCTTCAAAGTCAGCGTTCTGGAGCCAAGGTCATCATCGAGCAGATCAAGGCAGATGCGGTTGAAACATGTTGAAACCCAGGGTAGGAATGTTCAAATATAATAGAATATTTTTTTCCAAGACTCCGACTGCTCCTGCCCATTGACGGAACTTGTGTTATTCAACTTCAGAACTTTCATAGCAGAATTGGAATTGATGCCCCGGTACCCGTTTCGCTGTCTTAACTGAACAAGTCTTTTGTGGCAGACGAAATTTGCTGCGGTTTTTTGGGATTTGCTGCAGTGCGGCTTCTCTTTAGGACCGCCAAGCACAGCGCATGAAAGAGGAGGAGCATCGTGACCAGGACGGGAGGAGGGTTTGTGATGAGGTGAGACGAGAGGAACCAACTGCATGTCTTTAGCGTGCTTTAGCGATGAAAAAGAGTTGTGGATCCAAAATCGGCAAGACAACACCGCGTAACCTTCCACAAAGTAATCATTCGGTAACGTTTTGGTAACGTTTGCCAGGGGTTGCTGTCATTTGGGGTCTCCCAACTTTCTCGAAGACTGTCCATTCAACTGAAATCCTAACATACATCCTGGTGGGAGTTGATCTAAAGGGGTGTGTAAGAGGTTTTTATCATATGTCCACGACCGTTTAGTCTGCTATCCAAATCATCCGCCCCACCACGTCGACCTTACAAAAAGGGGCATGTCACTTTCGTAGCGTTTGGGGCATGGCTAGCCGTAAGCCCTCAGGTTGATCCGGCTCTTTCCTGACTCGTGGTTTGGTTCCTCGTCCGTTCGTTGCACGAAGAACAGTTCGCCCCGCAAAAGCCACCATTCCTTGGCCACACATGTGTTCGTTTGTGGGTTTCGACGCACCAAAAACAAGACGAGCGGGTCGTAACAGTTCGCCCCGTTCGAGCGAAAAAAAAAAACACGGCCGACCTACCTGACCGCTGATTTGTGTCGTCAGGAGCGGTCCTTCGTGCTGAAACAAATCCAATCTTTGAAGGCCGAAGAGGTCGAGCAACAGCCAGGTGCCTCAGGTCGCCGAAGAGGGCGTAACGCGCAACGGATCGCCGTTTTCGGGTGCGGACTGACGGATTCGGGTTTGAAGGCTAAACTGACCGGTATATATATATATAATATTGGCGTTGACTTCAGGGGTCAAATGAACAAGAGGAATCCTTTTATTAGGGATGTCAAGTGAAACCATGTGGTCGGGGAGGTCAAAACCACAAAGAACCATAGATGACCTGCATGAATCCAGGTTTGCAGGTCTGACCTGCATGAATCCTGCGTGGCCAAATCATCGGTTCGTCTGTGGCAGTGTTCACCTTTGAGGGTTTGGATTCGCTCAGGCAGCAAAAGAAGCTTGCGGCAGAGAGGTTAATGCAAGAGGCGGCGTTTCCCGGTTCTACGTTCAGCAAGGCAAACTTCAGTCTAAAACACACGAACGGATCATCTTGGACCCGTGAAAATAGGGCCCCAACCCCCCGCATTCAACCACCCAGGTCACCTGGTAGTTGGAAAGTAGATGAGTTCATCCACCGGGATGGATGGTGTTCTCTCCGGTCCTTGGAGATTCCAGGTGAACGAGGCCAATTCTGCTGCAATGAAGATCAAAGAGGCCAGCGTCGCTGCAGCATGAACACCGTTTTTTCTGCAGGAAACATTTGATTACAGTATTCCTCAGAAAAATGTCGTGAGCAAATCATTTGGTCTTGCAGCGTATGCAAGCGGCAGGAAAAGATGTTGGCAGAGAAGCTTGAAGAACAGACACTTGGCCAACAACACACACAGACTCAGATAGCGAGGATAGGCAGGACAAGGATTCGCCTAGCTTGCTGGATGTGATGGTCCAACGACTGAGGAAGATCATTGAATACCAAGAAGCAAAGGACTTTCAGCCACAGTAGCGCTCTCTTGTTGCTTCAATATTCAATACTATAGACTCTAAGACCTGGATACAAACAAGATCGGGATGCCGTCTTGCCGATCTCATTTGAGACACTCTTCGGGAACATGTCGCAGGAGCAGCGTGAGCGCGAATTGGAAGCAGAGAAGAATCGCTTGGCTGCAGACAAGGCTGGTCCGCGGGCGAGCCGATGGGAGCCGAGTGAAGTATCCGGCACCTCCCAGCGATGGAGACGAGTTGGAAAACTCGTTGGCCCAAGCCAGTGAAAAAGGAAGTGTGAGATGGTGTGACCGGATTCTGACCTGGCTGGTCCTGGTGGTATTTGTTGTTTCTCCTCTAGAAGCTACTAGGTGGAGAGGCCATCGCTAGCAGGGTGGAAGCCATTCCTACTAGTAACAAGAAGCTACGAACGTCACAAAGGGCATCGCTACGAACGGAGTAAGGAGGCTAGTAGCTTCTGGCATCGCCAGACTCGTAGCAGGGACGCTACCCTGGATAGGTAGCTGGTGTTGTCTCGTTCCCAGGAGCGGGAGACTGCAAGGCTTCGAGCCATGCCGGGGCCCCGATCGATCCAGCGAAAGATCGGAAGAACCGAACAGTACGTGTCCGACATGATTTTTTTCTGTCCAAGCATAGGTCGTAGATCATCCCAACCCTGACAGGCAGGACTCGACTGATTCAACCCAATTGATTTGGTCTAGTGACTGGGCCATGGAGGTCTTCCCATTCTATGCCATTCATGAACTGGAATACCAGTAGAAGGGTGTTCAGAGTTTTGTTGTAAGGCAAGAGAAGGCCCAGGACAAGGCGGCTGAGATGGATGCTCTTCGGGCAAAGCGTCGGGTGGCCAAGAAGTCCTCATTCGAGAACGGCCACTTCAAGAGATGGTAAGAATCACTTACAGTAACTTTAAGTAATTCAAGATCTGTAAATTTTAGGTGTTTAGAGGCGTTTAGAGTGGGTCAAAGTGTGTTTGTTCCTTTTTTGTTTGTATTCTTTGTTTCGGCTAGAAGATCTACTGTGGCAGCCAGATCTAAAAAGCGTTTCCTCGATTTTACTGTCAGTGTCCCTTAGAGGGGGCCTTTGCAGTCAGAGTCATCCGGTTGTTGATGCGGATGCTTCGAGCGTGATAGCATCTCCAGGTGCCATGGAAGCAGCTGAACGAATTGCACGTCAGAAAGAGCAAGCTGAGAAAGACAAGCACGAGCGCATGAATGCCGATTTGAAGGAGGTGGGAACGAGCGAGAGAGAGAGAGAGAGACACCCACAGAGAGTACAGTTTGCTGGACGTTCTGGAATGTTCTGGGCATTTGCACTTGATGATTTGATTTGACAATGTAGACACGGACTGATAGTCTAGTGCAGGTTGTAGTGTTGCCTGGTGGAGTCGTAGTCCCTGCAGCAGCTGGCAGTTGTGATGAATAGAAGTAGCAGTTGATGCTGATGTTAGTTTGATGTGATTTGGGGTCGACATTGCTTGTGTTGGTGTTGGTGTAGCAGCTGCGGTCAACAGTGCATGAGGAGACAAGACCACCAAAACGATCCAAATCCAACATGTTGGACCCTTGGATGCCACTTGGCATGTTGGGAAACTTGACATGTTGGACCTACCCCACCCATCTACCCGCTATGGACCGCAAACCGGACTCGTACCAACCCATCTCGCCGCGTCCCTCGACCCATCTCGACCCGTCTCCACACACGTGTGTGGCGTTTCAGGCTCGACTGCAGCAACAAGCGGAGAAGGAGCGGCGCTTGGGCGAGCAGGCGAAGTTCGAGCGCGACGAGTTCGAGCGCATCATCGAGGCGGGGGGGCCGTCCGGTGGGTTTGGGTCGAGACCCGGCGCCGGTCCGTTGCGTTCGGGACGTGCGCTCCACGGTGCGAGATGGGGTGGGGCAAGGGTTGAACAAGGTATACGGCGTGAATGCAGCTTTTTCCAGCGAAGCAAGTGTTCCCAGCCGGAAGCGACGGTGCGGTGGTCCCGAACCACCCGGGGCCCCGAAACGGTGGAAAAGGACGATTCGCAGGGTTTGGTAGATTCGTTCCACAGCTTGAAAAGCCGAGAACACGATTCGAGGAAGAAACATGAAAAAAACGATAGCAACTTATTCTATTTGTTCATGTTAGTTCATTCTCTTTGAGCTGAGTTGTTGTTTTCTAATTGAGTATGCATCGAGACTAGCTCCTCAAGCAATAACACAAAATCTTATGATTTTTTTTGTAAATATATGCATACACTATCTATTACGTGTGAGCACCAGTCCACATTGAAGTGAGATTGTGCAGCCACATGCAATTAACTTGCAGGGTAAGCTGGTCATGTTAACTTGCAGCTGGTCAAATCGGAGATGTCACGCATAACTCACCACCATGATAATGGTCGTGATGATGGTCGTGAGTGGCCTCAGCACCGGAAAGACGGTTCATTGGATCTGGTTGGGGTTTGTTCGCTTGGGAGGCTTCTCAACATGGGGTACACTGAAACAAAACCGTCCGCAAATGGTCACTTTGAGTGGGACATCTTACGTATGATTTAGGTCTTGAGAAACACCCCAAATAGTTCAAGAGTCCAAACAACTCTGGCCTATGCCAGGTGCAAATGCAGCAGGAGGAAGCTGAGCGACAACGTCAGGCCGAAGAGCATCAGTTGCGCCTGCAGCATGCTCAGGACATGCAGTTGTCTAGTTGCAATGGTTCTTGGGCTTTCTGTTGGTTCAAACTTGACCAGAAGCGAGGACATGGCCTGATGATGCTCAATGACACTAGCTGCGTTTCTGTTTTTCCTCCATCCACACCTTCAGAAGGAAGAACCCCACCGCCGGAGTTCCACACCGGTCTCCGCGACCATCGCGGTGTCGATCGTCAGGAGTTGCGTCACCAGATCGCAGCGCGTGAGGAAAAGGCTTACCAGGACGCGGGCCGAAGCGACTAGATCAATCCCAGAATTTGGCTGGGACTGGGGAAACATCCACTGATTCTGGGTGGGACTGGATAAATTGAGGGAGAGGAGACGTTGTTCCTCTGAGCGTTTCGTGTCGACCAAGTGACCGAAGACAACGCCGCTGCGCTGCGCTGCGCACATTTGACTCACGGATGGGCGTTCGTTCCACAGTTCGCATGAGTCTTGGGTCTGGGACAAACACGAATCCAGCAGTGGCGCAAGTGGGTGTGTCTGACAGACACCGGGAACCTTCGAACCGGCAACGTGTCGCAACGTGTCTTCGCAGAGGCCTCCAACTGAAACCGCTGGCTTCATAACTGCCGTGGACCCACACGCAACGTGGGAAGCGGTGGTCAGGAGCGCCGGGACTTCCTCGAGGAGGGCAACGCCGTCCGTGCATCCATTGGCAACGAGAGGAAGAAGCCGGGCGCCTCAATGTACGTGTGGTGTGGCTGCCGCGTGCAAAATCAAATGCTTTGCAGCATGGAGACGTCACTGGTCCTTCAAATTGGTTCAAAAGCCAAAGGCCAATGTACACTCGAATCAACAGGAAGAAAATATGCTTGAACGCACAAGTTCATCAGCAAAACCTTTTGCAGATGATGGTTTGACCCGGGAATCAAAGTTTTAGTTGACGGGGAATGTGTGGCCAAAAAGAGCACCGTGAAGTTTTCTTGTGTTTTTTTGAGAAAAAGCGATGCCAAGCCATATACACAGTGGGAAAGTGGTTCTTGTCAGTGTGTTTGTTGACTTTGATTTGACTTAACGTTCAATGAAAACAACTCCCAAAAGCTTCCGCGCGCCGGACCTGCCCGGTCAACCCCAAAGCTGCCGGACCCGGACCCGGACCGTCCCAAGCGGCGCTGAACCGGCCCGAGGCTGGAGAAGATCAAGGCGAGGAAGATCGATGAGCTCCAGAAGAGCGGAGTTCCTGAGAAGTACTGGGCCGAGCTCGCCAGGAGCCGGATCCACTCGGAGCCGACCGATTCCGGGTGAAGGGAGGGGACCGGAGGGGACGACCCGCCAGAAGACGGGACCGACAGCTGACATTCTGCGTCATGCATCAACAACCGAATTGGGAAGAGTATGGATGAAGTCCTGAGGGTTTGTTGTGATCACTTCGTCCAAACTTGGTGCGAAATGTATGTGTTTGTTTCTATTTTCAGGTGCAGAAGCCAAAGAAATCCGAGAAGGGTGTGAAACACATTGGTAAAAGAAGAGTTGAATCAATCAATCAATCTCTCTCTCTATCTTTTTATTTTTTTTGCTTGTCTCTCTTTGTCTTGTTCTTTTCCATGGGAGAACTTATACCTGTTTGAACAAGGAATGCAAATCGGATGTTTATCATTATATAATTGCATGTATTTTATGAGGTTATAACATTCATTCCCCATCCAAAGATTCAGAAGTAATTACATTCGGCTTCACGTTCTTTTTCTGCAAAACCACCAGAAACGATGAGTACAGAAAAGAAAGCACGGAACCGACTCCGCGGCAGTTCGGTTCTTTCTCATGTGCAGTCCGCGTCTTCGAGACTTCAGGAAGAAAATCTCCATCTGAGCCCAGCCGCACCGCCTTTCGCTTCGGTGACTCCAGCTTCGGCCCCCCCAAAACCGAACCTCCGCATCGGACACATACCCAGCCGAAAAAGACGACGGACCTTCATCACGGGTTCCCTCAAGATCGTCCCCCGTTTCTTTTTTCAATTCTTGACCGGACCGGGCCGCTTGAACAAAAGCGGCTTCGAAGGCCAACTTTCTCTTCAGCCAGGTGTGGGGACTCCGCACGTTTGGTCCCAAACGAGTCACCGGACGAGATCGTCTCACCCCGTTTCACCCGGACGGAGATGCTGCGTCTCACCGAAGAGGTCGCACGGCCGAAGAGGTTGGTTTGGCTGGTCGAAGAGCGAACAAGGGCAGAGGTGTGCTGGGCAGAGGTGTGCTGGGCACAGGTGAGCTGGGCACATGGGTATCATGATGCATCATGATGGGCAAAAAGAAAGGCGAAAGGTTTTTGATGTATTTTGATGTAGTTTTCCATCAAGTCTTTGTTCGCTTCTTCAGCGATGTGAAAGTCCTCCTCGCTGGGGTCCCGCCCAGAGGCGGAGCCTCGAGAAAAAGCGAAGCCAGAAAAGGCACCTTAAGAGGTTTCGTTGAGCAATTTGGAGCAGGAACAAGAGCAAGAGGATAATCGTTAATTGAAGCCAATGTCAACGCTATTGCTGCAGCTATTTTCCATTGCAAAGGTATTCCGATTGCCTCTGTGCCCTTTGTCATTATTATCGTGTTTTTGTGTTTATGTTTTTTTTTTTTTTTTTTCGATTCACTCCAACATGCTCAATTGACAGATCCAGTACTGCTGCATGTCGTTTCTCTTGCACATAAGTACTCGTAACATAAGAATTATCCTATGGCGTTGAATTATCACGAAAGGTAGCCCTTTAGGGGATACCTTGAGTTTGTCTTGCGAAGCAAGTGTTGGGACGTCCGGGTCTAATAATTGATCGCTCAATTCAGACCCCCCCCCCCCCCCCCCCCC